GACTATTGATTGAGGTTGTTTGAATCCAGTGTGGAGTAAGCGTTTCTCAGACCTTAACCGTGTATAATACTTGACTACATGGGCTGGAGAGAGCTCAAGAGCATTTATTGCTCTTACAGAGGACCAGCGTTCAATTCCCAGCACCCACATGGTGGCTCACAATTGTTGGTAACTTGTTTTAGGAGATCGGACATCCTCTTCTGAACTCTGCAAGCATGCTTATGGTGCACATACATGCAGGCAAAACACTTATACGCATACTATAAATAATTTTTTTTTTTTTTTAAAGAATTAGCTACAGAGCCGGGCAGTGGTGGCACACGCCTTTAATCCCAGCACTCGGGAGGCAGAGCCAGGTGGATCTCTGTGAGTTCGAGGCCAGCCTGGGCTACCAAGGGAGTTCCAGGAAAGGCACAAAGCTACACAGAGAAACCCTGTCTCAAAAAAACCAAAAAAAAAAAGAAGAAAAAAAAAAAAAAGAATTAGCTACAGAGTTTGTTAAAAGTGCAGGTGGCTGTAGCTGGAGGTTTTTTCTCCAGGTCCCACCAAGTCCCGGCAGTCCCACAGCCCACTTATAAAATAAACACAGATGCTTATATTATTTACAAACTGTATGGCCACAGCAGGTTTCTTGTTATCTAGTTCTTATATCTTTTTGTTGTTGTTGTTTTTGGGTTGTTGTTGTTTTGTTGTTGTTGTTGTTTTGTTTTTTTGTTATTGGTTTTTTTCGAGACAGGGTTTCTCTGTGTAGCTTTGCGCCTTTCCTGGAGCTCACTTGGTAGCCCAGGCTGGCCTCGAACTCACAGAGATCCGCCTGGCTCTGCCTCCCAAGTGCTGGGATTAAAGGCGTGTGCCACCAACGCCCGGCTAGTTTTTATATCTTAAATTAACCCATTTCTATAAATCTATACCTTGCCATGTGGCTCGTGGCTTACCGGCATCTTTACATGTTGCTTGTCATGGCGGCAGAGGCGGCTCTCAGTGTCTCCCTGTGTCAGCCTTTCACTTCCCAGAATTCTCTTTTTGTCCCGCCTATACTTCCTGCCTGGCTACTGGCCAGCCAGCATTTTATTTATGCAGAGTAATATCCACAACAGGTGGCTACACCTTCTGCTCATATGTGTTTAATCAATTCTGGAATGGGTCCCAATTCTAATTTTTAATAAGGACATCCAAATAATTTCTGCTAAGACCTGATGGCCACACTTTGAGAACTCTGTTGAGGTTCTAGCATTCAGTTGCTAGAAAGTACAGAATTTTGCTAAGTGTTTGTGGCTGTTGTGGAAAATGGTATTGTCAAGCAGATATGATGATACATGCCTATAAAACCTCAGCACTTCTGAGACAGAACGAAGGATTGCTGCTAGTTTGAGGCCATCCTGGACTACAAAGCAAGTTCCATACTAGTTGTGGGGGTACATATCAGAGACCATGTCTCTCAGAAAGAGTGAGGTGGGGAAAGGATGCTATTGTCGTGGTTGTTAGCATTGTATAATTGTTGGGTGTGTGCTTTTTGTGCTTTCTGAGTTCTTTTCCATGGGTCATCTCATAATTACCACACCACATCGTGATAGGTAGGCTCAATTCAGGGTTGAGGAGATGGCTCACTGGATAAAACACTTGCCACACCCGCAGAAGGACCAGGGTTTGGATATAGAGAGCTAGGTGGGAATGGTGAGAACTAGAGGTGGGATCTCACAGGGGTGTATAGTCAAATACTTATGTGATGGGAACAAGGCCTTGGATTCAATCCCTAGTACTGCAAGAAGTGGGGGAAGTGCCTGGCATGGTGGTGCCTACTTGTAACCCCAGGCTAGGCTGGTGGATCACAAATTCAAGGATAACCTGGACTTACTTAAATACCCAGCGAGACTGCTTTAGAAGAGGGAGAAAAATGAATCATGGGTCAATGAGCAAAGTGGTTTGTTTCTAGCTATTTTTCTGTTATTCTTGGTATGGTATTAAGTGTGTTCATTTTGTTGTTGCCTTAATGTTTGTTACTTATCATTTATCTGTTCTTTTACATCAGAGAATGAATCTGTGTGTGTGTGTGTGTGTCTGTTTGTCTGTGTGTCTGTGTGTGTCTGTGTGTGTGTCTGTGTTGAAACAAGGTCTCATGTAGCCCAAGCTGGGGAGTTGTTTGTTTTGTACAAGGTCTCACTGTATAGCCTGGCTGGCCTGGAGCTCTGTATCCAGACTGGCTTCTTGGCAGTCCTCTTGCCTCTTCCTGAATACTGACTGGAACTACAGAGATGGGCATGCCTGGCTTTCAGTAGTAACTACCATGAGACTGGAAGCAGTTCTCAGCCTCTCACGTGTTACTGTGGGCATGAGCCTCCATACTCCAGCTGACCTTAAGATTTCTAAAGCTCTAACTAGAGTGTAGGAGAAATTTTTAAAATAACTTGAAATGACATGACTTGCTGGTGAAAGTTTGAACCATTTAAAGTGTACAATTTTATTTTTGTCATATGTACAGAGTTGTATAGTCATTACCATAATTCAGTTTTAGGATATTTTTGTCAGCGCTCCACAAAGATACCTTGAACCCATTCTCTTATTTCTTTGCTAGTTCCAGAAAACGAGCAATTTTATTTTCTATATATGTATAGTTGCCTACTAAGAAATTGTTGATCGGGGCTTGGGTGAAATAGCTTGGTGGTAGTGTTTGCTTGGCATCTGGGCATCCTAGGGTTTGGTCTACAGCACTCAAAAGAGATCGTTAACCATTTGTGATTGGTGTGCAGGTGATAGCTGTAACTTCCACCTCCCAATGAAGATGTGTGTTAATGCTTGATTCCCTTGGCCTTTACTTGTCTACACTCTGCCCCATCCCTCGGACCACTGTTAGCAACGTTTGAAGTAATGACAACTGGCAAAACGTCCCCCATACTACAAACTAAGTAGTATGATTAGAGTGTATTGCTTCAACCAAGAAAAAAATGGGAAAAATGGTATCAGATTAATAAATGTGCAGTAGCTTGAGTGGTGTACAGGCTTTATGCTGATGATCACAACTGATGAGAATTCTAGAGTACAGTAGACATGTTAGGCCCAGAATAAACTGTTCCACAACTCTCTGCCCTTCTACCCCTCCCTCTTGATCTAACATTCTTTTGGGATGTTCTCTGAGCCTTGCAAAACGAGATATAGAAATCCCACTTAAGGCTCATCTTTCAACAGTTCTGTTCTTCTCAGCACTTTGATCAGTTAGAGTCTCTATAGTAAGCACATGACCTACTGCCAGAAGAATTCCTGAAGCCACAGCTAACAGCAGCGCTGGTACATGGACATAAACAAATAGCTAGAAGGCATTAATTAGATAGGCACACAATCTCTAGTCTCCAGCTGTATAATAGTGGAAGCTTCCCCACTAGGGCCTATTCGTTCCCCAGCCAGACATTTAGCCAAGCTTACAGTACCAGATGTGAATTCCTTCCTGTGGAAGTAGCTTCAAATCCAATCCGAAAGTGCGTAGTTGGCCCCATAACAGACCTGCCACTATTGGACCTCATTTTCATGCAAATGTATATTGTATGTTTAATGATCTTTTACTTTGACTTACTAAGATTTTAAGGGAGCAAATTTGATGTAACTGAATGTGGACTCTGTCAGTAAAGGTCTGAAGTTAGAACTAGCTGATTTGAGGTTTTATCTATATTTCTCTTGAAGGTTACATTTGAAATCCCTTGCAGTTCTGAGGATGATATTAAAGGGATAATAGAAGAAATAGCATTAAAACACTTAGCCGGGCGGTGGTGGTGCACACCTTTAATCCCAGCACTTGGGAGGCAGAGGCAGGCAGATTTCTGTGAGTTCGAGGCCAGCATGGTCTACAGAGCCAGGTTCAGGAAAGGCACCAAAACTACACAGAGCACCAAAGCTACACAAAGAAACCCTGTTGTGTGTATATGGGGGGGACCACTTAGATAATTTCCTAGAGATAGATATTTAATGTTGCTTTTCGGTCTTTTGAGGCAGGATTTCATCTCACTCTGTAGCTTAGGCTGGCCTCAAACTTTGCCTCAGGCTCCTGAGCATTAGGGTTACAGGCTTGGCCAACAATCTGACATGGATTTTAGTTTTCAGAAAGCCTTTTCTCTCCTTTTGAGTATTTTTTGTTTGTTTGTTTTGTTTTTGTTTTTGTTTTTTCGAGACGGTTTCTCTGTGTAGCTTTGCGCCTTTCCTGGAACTCACTTGGTAGTCCAGGCTGGCCTTGAACTCACAATGATCCACATGGCTCTGCCTCCCGAATGCTGGGATTAAAGGCGTGTGCCACCACTGCCCTGCCCTTTTGAGTATTTTTAACACATTGTTTCTATTGGTGTTAACAGAGAAACTAAGCCAGGTTAGGCTTTTAAGTATTTACTCCACTGTTTGAGGAGACAAAGGCTTGCTGTACATAGCCAGGTTGGCCCCATATTGTTTCAGAGAAGAATTTGTTTACAGACATCAAAATGTGAAAAACTTATGGTCGAGATTTCCAGTTCTCACAACGAGAAATTAAGTGATAACATTTGAGTTACTGGAGGGAAATTATATTTATATACAGTATAACACAGAACAGTTAAAATATTTTTTTCTTGAACAGATTAATCGTGTGTTGATACTACTCTTGTAATACTAAACTAGGCAAAAATAGGATTGCTTTCCACTGAGGGACAAATGATTGACGTGCAGTGTGGTGTGAAGGGAGTTGGGAGCTAATGACAAGAGGCCTTTCTGAAGTGTTGAAAGGGCTGCTGGAGTCATTTCTTCCGTTACAAAGCTAGTCCAGACGGGAAGTGATGCGGGTGGCTACAGAGTTGAGTTGTGCTGGGGAGAGTGTTAGTAAGTGGCTGTGCAGGGGAAAGGGCTTATTACTCTTTTCTGAGCAGTGTGTTTAGTCACTGAGTTTGTCTTGTGTCTAGAGAAAAGGTTTCCTGAAACAAGAAATTTAAATGTTATAATAGTAAGTGATAATGTTTTTGCATTGACTCTCCCTTTTCTTGTTTTGTTAGGTGGTATGGACAAGAAAAAGACTATAATGTGCTAGTCATGGATCTTCTGGGGCCCAGCCTTGAAGATCTCTTCAATTTCTGTTCAAGAAGGTTCACTATGAAGACTGTACTTATGTTAGCTGACCAGGTATGTAAACTTTTGACAAAAATAAAAAACTGAAAAAAGTTATTTATACAATGGCAACATTTCATAGACCAGAGTATTATAACCCCACATGTCACTATTTCTTTTAAAACATAAAAGGATTGTTTGTTGTCTTACAGTAGTAAGGTATGCTTTATAAATGTATTCCTCTGGAAATAACTATTACATGCAGCATTCTGTTTTTACTGTGTGTGGTGGCACAGACTCTTAGAATCTCAGTGTTTGGGAGGCTGAACAGGGGTTACCAATGCAGGGCCAGCCTGTGCTTTATACAAGATCATGTCTCAGGTGAACAAAGAACTGGTTTTTTAAAAATAAGGTACCAGGGTAACTAAAGATGAAGTTTTAGCCAAATTGATGCTTAAAGTAATAAAGTTGGAAGCACTAATAGCATTGAAGCAACACCAGGACATTTTAGAAATGCCTAAGTTTGCCTTTTTCTTTTGTTTGCCTTTTTTTTTTTTTTTTTTTTTTTTTTTAATGGTCCAGCCTGGTTTCAAACTCTCTAGGTTTACCACTGGGGAAAATAAAGTAGAATAAATAGTCCCTTCTAGGAGCTTAAAGTCAAAAAGAGAAAGATACAAAAATAGCTAGTCAGTGTTCTGTGGTAACATGAGAAAGAAATTTGCTAAGGACTATAAGGCTTTTTTGCAATATAGTCCTTAGCAATTATGCTTTCTCACTTTGTAGAGCAGGCTGGTCTTGAACCCTTAGAGATCCACCTGCCTTTGCCTCCTGAGTGCCTGGCTTTAAGGTGAGTGCCACTACATCCAGCAACGCAGGTTTTTAGTCATTCACACTAGTAGAACAGGCCAAAGCCACCAAAGTTTGGGTCTGGTGGCCAGCAAGCTGGAAATAAATAAAGGGCTTTATTGTTTTTTCATTTGTTGTTTTTCTAGTGCTGTCATTATAGATCATACATAATTGAAATACTGGAGTACTTGAGAAGTTATGAGTTGCTTTCTGTTATCACTTACTATTTTTACCCTTTTTCTTTTTCAGATGATCAGTAGAATTGAATATGTGCATACAAAGAATTTTATACACAGAGACATTAAACCAGATAACTTCCTAATGGGTATTGGGCGTCACTGTAATAAGGTTAGTTCAATGTTCTTTGCATGAAAGAACAATGAATAGAATATTGATGCGAATTGCTTTGATAAACTTTGAATCTTTGAAAAGCCATAGTAAATCGAATTTGCTGTAATCTGCTTAAGAGATTGTGCCAGAAGGATAATCAGTTAACTCTGTTAACTTAGTAACTGAAATATATTCTCTCCAACTTATCCAACCAAGGTTAGTTTATTTATGTGAAAATATAAAATTCCAAGGGCTTTTTAATGAGCTTTAATCATCTATTTTTAACTTGGACAATTGTACTTTTCATTCACTTAAATAGTGAAAACATGTACCTATAATCCTTCCAGAATGGTGACTCTATAAAGTGTGGGTTTTGGAATACATGTGCTTGTACCAGTATGGCAAACTACTGACCTATCTGTCACTATGGCATTAACCCTTGCTGCCTGAGCATGGTTAATACTGAGAATCCTTAAGTCCTTGGATTGGTGTATTTAAAAGAATAACTTTTGGGCCTGTTTCAAAAGTAGCTTACAGTTTATTACTTGGGTGAGTTCTCCACCCCTCCTCCATGCTGTTACAGGAGAGTACTGACCAGTGATTGAACATTCATATAGCAGAGTGAGTGATTATTGGGGGGGGGTTCTGACAGTGGGTTCCATATACGGGGTGGTTAGGTTGTAGTGACGCATGATTGCAGTTAGAAACTAATTATATTGAAATTTTGTCTGCAATGCTTAGTTTTATTGAGTGAATTGCTTTCTTTATTCATTCAATGTTGAGCTCGGGCAGACAGGCAGCATTGGCAATGCACGAAGCATGTTCCAATCTGATGATCTCAGAAATTTCTCAACTTCAGGACAACTGGGGCGGGGGGAGCTTTTTTTGTTTTTGTTTTTGTTTTTTTGGGAAAGGAAACTTCCCATTTGTTAACCAGTTAGGGAATGTGGTGTTTTAGGTCTAGCTGTAAATGTTTACCTTTGTTTGCCTGTATGAATGCCAACTTGGAGCCATTATATTAGACCTGGTGTTGCTTGTTAATGTGAGATTAATGTTGGTCTGACCAAGTTCTAGGAATTAGATTTTTCACAGAATTTCATATATTGAAGGGTTTTTCAGCCATGTAATTTATCTTGTATCCCCAAATTGCATTTAAAGAAATGTAGCTTCTCTCTTTGAAGCATCCAGGTTCTTAGTTATTATTCTAAAACCTGGTAATTGGTTTAAAAAAAAAATTGGCCTTAATTTTTTCTCCTGCAGTTTTGGCAGTTTGACTCTTCTTTTGGCTATTTCCCAGCCCTCTTCTTCCTGTTTTCTTATCCTTAAACGCCCATTATCCCCACGTGATCCCTGTTCTGCATAGTGACAGAGCAGTAAGTACATGGTTTTTGCCTTCCCTTTAAACAGTGGTCTAGATAGTAACACGTCCCGCTCTTTCCCTGCTCCCCTTCTTAGGAATAGTTGGTTTAATCCCGTAGATGTCTTGGAAAGTCCATGTTCCTTTTTTAGAATCTGTGTCCTCTGTACAGATAGTAAAATGATTTTGTGGCACTGCTTACCTGGAGCAGTTTTCAGTGTTCACAGGACAGAAGTGAAGTGTTTCCTTTAAGATTGAAATAGAAATGTTTCTCTTCAACACTTGTTTCTGTAGTTGGTTTTTTTGGTGTTTTCTGTACTGTAGTTTGAAAAGTGCCCCTGTGTAAGACTGGCTCCTTCAGTCAGCTTGACCAGAAGTTTGTATCCACAGGAATCAGGCTTGATGGGGTGGGGGCAGCTTCCCAGTTAAATTTCTTACTTGGAAATTGTTCTGAATTTGATATCTAGGAGTAGCCACTCCAATCTTAGTGAATTTGCTCATCTCTTCCAGTAATTGGCCCTGCATGCTTTAAAAATAAATTTTAAGGTGACTAAATGCCTTCTACCTCTTCCTTACTGAAGATTTTTCCCCCATACATTCTTTTTTGGGGGAAGGGCAGATTGTGGTGTCAATGATTTCAGCTCCAAATTCCCCATTTTTTTACGTAAAAATTACAGAGCCAAATGTCACCATTGCTATCCCTGTTTCAGACAGTGGCACAGTCCTAGTGGCATTAAGACCATAAGTATTCTAGAATTGAATGTTCTTGAGCACACGATTTTTATTTGGAAACTGAGAAGAAGCTCCAGTGCTTGGTGGAAGAAGGATGGCATTTGGCTACCCTGTTCTTTCTCTGATGCCTCGGTGTTGCCTGTCTGCGCCGGCCATTGTTGCAATGTACGCAATACTGTTTGATGCACTGCCACCTCTATTGTCTGTTCAGTGTTTAGAATCTCCAGTGGGGAAGAGGAAAAGAAGCATGACTGTTAGTCCTTCTCAGGACCCATCTTTCTCAGGATTAAACCAGGTCTGAAACTGTCTCCTATTCCAACCTCAACCCCCAATTCATGTGCTTTTCTTTCTTATTGTTTTGTTTTAATTACTTTTATTTAATTCTGGAGAATATAGATCTTGCTCAAGCACCTCTTACGTTGGCATTATTCAGACATACTTGGCAAACATGTAACATTACTAAGATATTTTTGTGGCTTTTGCTTAAAACTTTTAAAGCTTAGAGAAAACCTAAATGAAAATAGGATAATGTCTTTGTTTTAGATCGTTGACATTGATATGAGGAAGTGCTGTTAGTGTAGTGTTGAACCTTTACTAAAATAAATGAGCTAGTTTAGCTTCAAAATGTGTTTGGAGCTGAAGAGTTTAATGCACAGTTAAGTCTCGTATGCTCTCGTGACTGCTCTCTCTGCTCTGCTTTCCTTCCTTCCCCAAGACCCTCCTCAGGTAAGTAGAGGTCAGATTTCACAGCTAGTGTTTCTCAAACCAGACTTGTCAGGTTGTCGATTCTTAGCTTCCACCAAATGGTTGCTCTAGGTCAGGCGACAATGTATTCATAACAGAATAGTGACAGTTTAAGGAATAAAACAAACTAAATGGTCAGTGATCATTAGTCACAGGAAGATAACTGAATATATGACCTGATTTAGGTTTGAGCGGGCTAAACAAGCCAGTATTTAATCACTTTACATAATCTTTTCCTTCTGGAAACTGAATTTTGTTTGTTTTTGGTTTTAGTTTGAGGCCTGGTCTCCTAGCCCTGGTTGGCCTGCAACAGGCCGGCCTCATGCTCAGCCATCTCATTCACCTACCTCTGCCTCCAAGTACTGGGACTAAGGGTATATGCCACCATGCCTGACCCAGTATGAATTTTTATGGACAAAGGAACGTTTACTTTAGGATGTGAATTTTGGTGCTTCTGGAACCAACAAGTCTGTAATTTTTGATACTGTGTACTCTGAGAAGACAGTATTGGCATAAATAACCAAAAATGAAGAAATATGCAATGCTGTATACTGGCTTAATTACCTAAATTACTTTTCATTTATTTCCTACATTGCCCCAGTTTTGATTTTGTGCTTCCACTGCTGTCCAGGGGCAAGTTCCTCCTCCTCCAAAGGTTGCAGATACTCAAGTTACTTATCCCAAAAGAGAAATGAGTGTGCCGGTGCATGCCTGTAATCCTGCAGTAGGAGGCGGATCACGGCACATTCCGGGCCAGGGCTAGTTAGTGCCATAGGGAGTTCAGGTAACCCAAGGAGCTGCATACTGAGACCTCGTCTCAACAAATAAATAACCCCCAAAGAGCTTATTGCTGTGGCTAAATCTTGGTGGGTAAGAGTACATGAGTTTTCTCATGATAAGAAGAAACAATTTTTAAAAACTTACTAGTCTCATTTTTACTTACCCAATCCATCTGTACATTTTGCTTACATTTTGTAGCATAACAACTTATTTTCTAAATGTGTTAATATTTTGTTTATATTATACAAGCTAGTTAGGTTGCAAATAATTGATGCAGGTCCTCAGAAAAATAGTTTGTCCCAATAATGAAAATTGCCTGTGTCTTTGCAGGTGCAATCCTTATACTCACCTGGCACTGACTTTCCTCATTTGTTTTTTTCTTTATGTAGTTTCTTGGAGCATTCATGGATTTAGTATTTGGCTTGGGGGTTTTTGTTCTTCTTTTTTTTTTTTTTTTTGTTTTTGGTGTTTTGTTTTGTTTTTTGCCTTTTTACATTTTTGTTTTGAATACTGTTTCCTCATTTTTATAGAGGAAATAACTTTTGAGTACTGGGTTTCTTAAATCAATCTTTGGTTTTTTACACAGTATCTGCTTTTTGAGTTGCAAATGGAGATTTTTCTTTGAGTAGCAGCTGTCAGACATAATCCACATTCGCACACTTCCTCTTCTCTGAAAACTAAAGGGATTACATAATCCAAGGAGGCCTCTGAGAGAGTCCATGACCTAGGAATTGTTTTCAGTGCCATGAAGCTGACTATCGTGTGTTGTTAGTTTTCTGGTTTTCAGTGTTATTCTGCAGAACTGTGTGCTCATTTACTACTAGTAAACTGGTGCTGGTTTTCATATTAAGAGGAATGTGCAGTGTGAGCTATATGTATTAAAATACTTTCCCATATACCTAAATAACTTGATTGCTTAGGGAGTTTAATATTAGGTTTACAAAGCTTCTGTTATCTATCTCTCACTAGTAATTTAGTCTCTTATAGTAGACCAAATGAAAGTATAGGCATAATAGCTGGAAGAAACAGGGTTTGTTTGTTAAAACAGGCTCTCACTGTGTAACCCTGGCTAGCCTTGTACCCTCTTGTAGACCAGGCTGGCTTCAAAAAAAGAGATCTGCCTGCCTTTGTCTCCATAATACTGGGATTAAAGGCATGTGCTACCACCCTTGGCAACTTAGCATGAATAGATGATTTGTTTACTTGTAACTTGAGTTTTAAAAGATTATGTTAACAGTTTCCTAAGACATAACAGCTTCCATACTGGTAGAAGAGACCTAGTAGTTAACAAAAAAGAATAATAAAGTGTAGGTGCAATTAGAAGAGACACAGTCTCGTGTGTTCACATGCACACAGATAGGTCAAGCTTGATAATATGGGAGATAGGATTTTATTATAGCATAGACTGGTAAGTAGGGGTTTTTTTTCCTACAAAAGTTAAAACTTCAAATACATAGGTAAACAGGAATCGATTTTGTTACTTTTTCATCAAAAAAATATGTTTTCCTTTTAAAAAATTGAGTTTTGTACATTAAATTTGAATGACTTAGAAAACTGCTGTTAGTACTTTATTCCCTGGTTACCACGTAGATTATATAAAAGGAAACATTTTCTTCTAAAATGCTAATGTGGTTTTGGGGTAGCTCATTTAAGCAGATAATTTGTAAGCCACCTTAATTTAAATGCTATGCTTTTAATTTTTTAATTTTTAGATTAACATTTTATATTTTTCAGATACCTTGTGAAACATTGTAATGCATGCTCTTGTTTTTTTTTTATTATCTTAAAATGGTTTCTTTTTTTATATCAGACTTTGAGGATTGTGTTATTTAAATAATTAGCTTTTTCTTAACATACTGAAGGGAGTGGCCTTTGTGAGAGAGAGGAGTCCCAGAAAGCTTGTGCATAGATTTTGGAACATGCTTGTTTTAACCATAGAAACAGCCTGTCAAATTTCATGTGGTAAACGCATACTTGACAACTCTGCCTTGGGACATGTATATACTCACTTTGTGAAGACAGGCTGCTATGTGTATAAGAACTGGGCAGATAAAATTATATAAGTAAGGATAGATTACTAGGCATAATTGTGGGGGGTGTTACTTACTGGTGAAGAATAGTAAAGGCTTATTGGGGTGTTAAATCTATTATCTGTTCTACTTATATTTCATTTTGATATTTGAATATACTAATGAGTAAGAGACTGTTTAATTGAACAAGGTTAGAAACCTAATGTCTCCTTGTTTTTCTTTTAAAGTTATTCCTTATTGATTTTGGTTTGGCCAAAAAGTACAGAGACAACAGGACAAGGCAACACATACCATACAGAGAAGATAAAAACCTCACTGGTACTGCCCGATACGCTAGCATCAATGCACATCTTGGTATTGAGCAGAGGTAAGTCTTTTCAAATCCATAATGGAAGCAAGCTTTGGATGGCTTTTCTTGAGTTTGTTCGTATTAAAATTTCTTAGTATCTTAAGGGTGCTTCTTTTTATTGTTGTATCTTTTGCTTTTAACTAGTGCAGAGAAGCCACCTAAATTAATGGGGCTTTTTATTTTCTTTCCTGAAAGTTGTCTCTGCGATAGAAAGTTAAATGTCTGGTATGGTGACACATACCTGCAGTCTTAGCTAGCACTAGGAGGCTGAAGCAGGATGAATGCTAAGAATTCAGGGCCATTCTTGGCTATATAATGAGTCCACATTGTGAGACTCTATCTAAAAAAGGAAGGAATGAAAAAACAAAAGCCTGTTAAACGTGGAAGTTGGAAACATAATTAGTATTTTGACATCTCTTTTTAGTTTATAACATAGTACCTGCTTTTTAAGTGCTGATCTTAGGCACTTCAGTGTTATGACTTGTGCTTATCACTGTGGTTGGCAATGTGAACCTGGGAGAGTGGATCCTTAAAATGAGGCAGACTCTCATGCAATAACCAACTTTATTCAGAGCATCAAACAATTTATACTCTGAGTCACATGAGTAATTTGTACAATCACAAAGACAAGCCCCACAAGCTGCATGTGGCAAAAACATGTTTTTTCTATGGAGGTATATAAACAAAAAACAATAGCCAGTTGTGATGAATAATTTGAAGTAAACTATCCCCTACATCTGGGAGAGGCATGAAAACACATTCCAAGAACAATTCCATGTTTTTGAAGAAACTGAGGTCACGAGTTTCCTTGGAGTTTTCTCAAAAGCACTTTGAATCCCCCCTGCATGACTCTATTTGTGGACCATGTTCCAACAACTTGAGTTCCAGGGGTGATGAGGATCCATGGGTCACTTTTACAAGGAAAATTCTGTAAGAGAACTGAGCTTAGTGGCTCATGCCTGTAATCCCAGCACTTTGGGAGTCTGTGAGAGGATTGCTTTACCTTCGAATTCGAAGTTAGTCTCGGGACAAACAAAAATTATGAGATTTGTAATAAACCACAGTGTGATTGGTAGACTATGATCTCTGTGTCTTCCTTGAGTTTTCTTTTTTCCGAGTTCCCTTCAGTTTTTGGTTAGCTTTCCTTCCCTAAAAGAAACAAAGCAAAAAGTGCTATGTCTTTGGGTTGGAAACGTCATATTGGAATGTAGGAAGAAAGATAGTAAATTTCTGAATACTCTGAGATGTGCTATGATTGCGTTCACCCGGGAACAGGTATTTCCTGTCACTGGGTATATTTCTTTCAGTGCATGTGTATGAGTGTGTATACACTTGTGAGGTTGGTTTGTTTGAGCATCTCTAGAGGGGCTTTAGGAGTTGAAAATGAAGGCATCTCTTACTACTTGTTTTTCATTGTTCATTAAGACACCAGATAGTCTTTATCTTCATTTGTGAGCATTTTTTCTTATGTGTACTCAGTTTTTATGTTTTCCCATTATCTGCTTCATAAAATACCATTCTCTTTTCTAGTCGCCGAGATGACATGGAATCTTTAGGATATGTTTTGATGTACTTCAATAGAACCAGTCTTCCCTGGCAAGGGCTAAAGGTAAATCAAACTCAAATTCCTGGGGAGTGCTTTTATTTATCTTCTTTGAAGGAAAGATAGGAGATGGATCATCCGAGAACTTGAGGAATGGTGTGGGCCCAGGGGAGTCAGAGCAACCTAGGCAGCATAAGGAAGGAACCCTTCTGTCGCAGAGGGGAGGGGAGAGAAGAGGGAAGACACCCTGGAAGGTGTCCCCCTTTACAGTGTTTTCCAGATCTCAGTTTCAGCCAAAGTTAATTTGATTTTGCCTTTAATTTGGGGGAATAAGTTGACCGTTTGAGTAAGAAATTAGCTAAGAGTAATTAATTTAACTAATTAATTAGTTAACCCTGAAGGCTCATCTTTTGTGCTAGTACTCATTGGTGACAACTAGCCTTATCTAGGTTGAAGCACAGGTGGGCTTTGGATGTTGAGCCGTGCTTTTGAGTGTATGGTTTTTTTTTTTTTTGTTTTGTTTTTATTTATTATGTACACAGAAGAGGGCGCCAGATCTCATTACAGATGGTTGTGAGCCACCATATGGTTGCTGGGAATTGAACTCAGGACCTCTGGAAGAGCAGTCAGTGCTCTTAACCTCTGAGCCATCTCTCCAGCCCCTTGAGTGTATGTTAATAAATCATTGGTGTAGAATTTAATAGCTATTCTGAACCTTTAAAGGAAAATAGTAAAATGCTCAGTTCTTTTGTGAGTAGCTTTATCCAATGTGGACTTGATTCCACATATTCTTTACTTAGCTCTTACCTACTGAGTCTCTAGTACATATTCTTACTAGTGTGTTCAACTACTGCACTTCTAAGTATTAAATCCATCTTTGCACTTCTTTTTTTTAACAGGCTGCAACAAAGAAACAAAAATATGAAAAGATTAGTGAAAAGAAGATGTCCACTCCTGTTGAAGTTTTGTGTAAGGTAAGTAAGTATACATGATGAGATTTAAAAATAATTCCCATGGCCAGGTGTAGTTAGTATACATCTTTAATCCCAGAACTTGGGAGGCAGAGGCAGCCTGGTCTAACACAGCAAATTCTAGGCAGCCCGAGTTCAAGTAGTAAGACCTCTCTAAGTAAAGAAAAGCATGGGCTGGAGGGACACATCTCTGGTCAAGAGCATGTGCCATGCCTGGTGTGGTATTGCACTTGTGCCTTTAATCCCAGCATTCCAGACTCAGAGCCAGGAGTTCAGGACTGCTGGGGCTGTGTAGAGACATCCTGTCTCAAAAAAACAAACAAAAATAGTATTTGCTGCTCTTCCAGGGGATGCGAGTTCAATTCCTAGCACCCACATTGAATGTAGTTTATAACCTGGTAACTCCAGCTCCAGACACTCTTTTTTGCCCTTTGTCCTCTCTGGGCACCAAGCGTATATGAAGCAGGCACAGTGCACATATATAAATAAGGATAAATCTTTTTAATAATTGGTATAAAGTTCAGTAGGATGGCCCAGGGAGTAGACACCTGCTGCCAAGCCTGATAGCCTGAGTTTGATCCCTGAGATAAGTGGTGGAAGAACCAACTCGCACAAGTTGTTCTCTGTTCCATGTGCATGCTACAGCACATATATATCCATACACAGACATAGTACACACAAAAAGTAAGTCAAAGTAGTTACGTTAAGAGAAAAAAGCAAATCCTACATTAGCAAAAAGACAAAAAAATCAGTTGTCTTTGTTACTGCCCTCAGAAAAAGTTCTGAATTGTGCTATATAGAAAAAGGTGATTTCTTTCATAATTGTCTTAGGGTTTCTATAAAGCAATTTGGGAAGAAGGTTTATTTCATATTAGAACTCTCAGGCCACACTTTTATCTCTTGAGGGAAGTCAGCAGGAATAGAAGTCTGTAACCTGGAGTAAGGGACTGAAGCACAAGCCAGTGGAGGGCTGCTGCCTGTGGCGTGCTCCCCAGGGCTGGCACCATCCCCAGTTGAAAAGAACCCTCCCACATAAATCATCAGTCAGGAAAATGCCCCATGAGTCAGTCTGGTGGGAGCATTTTCTCGATTGAAGTTCCTTCCCAAATGACTAGCTTTTGTCAAGTTAACAAAGGAAAGAAACTAACCAGGACAACATCTAGTATACTATGGAGTGAGTAGGTGAATTTGGTTTAGATTTATGAGAAAACCAGGCTATAGTTGTCTTAATTGTCATAGCTTCCTACAAAGTACTGAAACAACATTATATGTTTCCTTTTGCTTGTATTTCAAAACTTCTAACTTGGTGTTTTTGCTTTTCACTCTTGTTTTAAATATTGAATTGATAGGGATTTCCTGCAGAATTTGCCATGTACTTAAATTACTGTCGTGGACTGCGCTTTGAGGAAGCTCCGGATTACATGTATCTGAGGCAGCTATTCCGCATCCTTTTCAGGTCAGTTGTTAATCTCGAAGTGGCTGCAGAGGCCCACC